TCCTTCTGAAGAAAAGCGCAACAAATATCAAAGAACATGCCAGTATGAACGAGCTATCGTACAAAAACCCATATAACTGGGCGGGGCTTATCTTGAGTGCAGGCTAATACCTCCTATATACAGTATGTATATTACCTATATTACCAGACACCAGTCATGTATCCCAATAAATAATAATGGTATCAGCTGCCCTCCCCAAAATAATTTACTACTAATGTAGGCCTACTCTGTTACTGTGTAACTATGTTCATATACTTCATCTACCACTAAACGATGACTATTGATGTCTAAACGACGTTCTTGAAACGACAATTTGTACACAGTGACAGTCCCTTGTGTGAACAGGGTAGCATGAGCAGACAGTCAAAGTAGGATCCAGACAATCTAAACTGAAAATGAGAACAGACGTCTATGTAATACATCACCAATCTAGAACAGACAATAAAGAGAGATGGAATGAAGATGATAAATCTATTTTCATACCCATTATCCAGCAGACCCTGCCTGGTTTATTCCCATCATCGTGTACGATACTAACAAGCTTTGGAAAATAAATGAGATTCGTCTTTCCGAGAAATGTACCATAAAGACGCGGTGGCAACGGCCGCCGGGTGAAAAACATAAATGGGAGGGGGAGGCTGAGGGGGTTGAATATCTAAAAATATCATAACTGAAAACATAACAATCATAGGTCTTAAGACTGCCTTGTAAAGTGTGGGGGGGGGGGGTTCCAAATCGATAGACACAGATGAATTGATTTTTGTTTAAAGTCTGTATAGGGGGTCGATCCCTACCCCCTTAGTACCCCCTTCGATAACCAATACCTATCATTCAACAGCCACCTCGAAGACCTACTTCTTGCTAAACATCCATGCAGGGATTTGCGGTGAGTTCTTCTATTGCTTCATGGTCTTTTCTCGTAGCACATTTCTATTTCTAGGTAATGGGCACATGGATTAACAAAGCTGGCTAAGTGCCCACGAAAGCACAAAGCAATGACTCAATCCTTTGCCGGTACATAGAATTGTTAGTGTGTTAGAAACTTAGAATAGCATGAACTCCTATGCCTTCGGAAGACAGCGATCTCTGAATCACCTGTATATTGTTACGGGCTGCTGTACAAGTCGCACAGATAGAATGTAAAGTTAATAGTGCAGAGAAGTGGCACCTTGATACACTGTACTAAATAATAATTACATTCCGCTTTTATATAGCGCTTAATACATCAACGATGTGTCTTAGCACTTTACAGATATAAATATTATTACCCTAGTCATCAGATTCAGGCTTGCCCGCACACAATGTATGCACAAATAATAAATAATTAAAAGTAAAAAGATAAAACATATTTGTTGGACCACTAATCGACTAGCAGTTGCTGGTCACTTGGCATCCACATTGCCTAGCAAGTCCATAAGCAGGTCTTGACTTCAAGACCACGCTAAAACTTCATAAACTTTGAAAGTTCTGCATTCTTCATCATGGCTGAAGGTGATGTAGACTTTGCTCAAGGTGCTTTTCACTTATAAAAATAAAAGATTCTCCAAACAAATTTGCTGTTTTCATAATAATTGTATCACCCTGGATAGCTTTCTGTAGAATGATAGCAAATTTTTCCTTCTTATTGTTTTTCCCCCTTTAATTTGTTTCTTCTTTATCATATTTTTGGTGGGACATGCTTAAACTACGTTCTCTCCTTAGACTAGACTCTTGATCATCTATTTGAATGATGCCAGTCAAGTTCAGGGTCTTGAGACGGAGACTACGGGTATGAAAGACTCTGCATTATGTTGGAGGGCATTCTGGCACGCAGGCTATGTACACATGAAAACATTCCAGCACCCTAACTATTCCATACATCCAAATCATGTCATGGTTGGTATGGGGGCTCACAGTTCCACGCCACAATGCATCTAGACCTCTTCCTTGTAACTTCGTGCAGGCCTGCTCCTGCAACCAGATTTCTCAGTCTGTCTGTCTGTCTGTGTAACTGTTTATCTGTCTGTCCATCTGTCACAACGCCACAATGCATCTACATCTAGACCTCTTCCTTTTGACTACATGTAGGTCTGCTTCTGGGACCAGATTTCTGTCTGTCTGTCTGTCTGTCTGCCAGTCTACCTTGTATCTGTCTTTAGTCAGTCTGTCTGTCTGTGTAACTGTTTACCTCTTTCCATCAATTACTCTCTCAACCAAATGATACCCATTTGTCCGTCCGTCCATCTGTCTGTCTGTATATGTTTGTCCATCTGTCTTCCTCTTAATCTGCCAATCAATCTCCATCTAGTCTACCACATCCTCATACATCCTCCCCTCTTTGGGTTTTTTCCTGAACACATTCACAGACATTTTTCTTGGAAAAAGTCTAGCATTTCATCTTCCTAATTCTCTTTCAATTTGGTTTTCAACAATGTTAAAAGCCAACTCCTAGCTAGAATTATACATCGTTATCTTGTAATGTGGATAAAAAAAGGCCCAAGTGCTCAGTGACACATAAACCACTTTTTCTCAAAATGGCCAAAATGGAGTTACGTCTTTGTGTCACTGACCCCTCGATATGTAGCTGCTTGTTCCCCTTGGTCTCTTACGTGCCCACTTCCCTTGGTCATATGCCTTCATCTTTGCCTCTCTTAACTACTCTTAACCCTTATCCTCCTTTCCCATTTTCCTTTCACTATCCTTTGCCACGTATTCTCATCATTACTTGCAAGTTCATATTCATTATATAACATTATGACCTCCTCCCCCCACCCCTACCCTCTCCCCCAAAAAAATATATTTTCAAAAAATTTACTTAAATTCAGTTCGACAGTCCCTCATATTTCCTAATAATCGGAACATCCAGACAATCACCAATCACAGAAAAGGTAATGCCACTTTACCCTTGCGTCCATCATTCTCTGAATAACATGAATCACGGAATTTGGACCCAACCTTCTAATCAACAAAGGAGTTTCAAAGAAACAGATACCCAGTTGCCAAATTTAATAAAACTGTCACAGATCATTAACAAAAATTCGTCCAATGCAACAAGTGCTTGGTCATTACGCCACTTTTGACCAGTGGCTGCCAACAGCTCACCACCGGCTGCCGCATTTGGACGTTGAATTGAAGAATGACAGTGCACTGTCATACTCCTATGGCCAATTTTAAAATATATGTCAACTGTTGGAGTATAGTCAATACATTTTATTACCATTTGGGGACAAGCTGACGTACTGATGCTAGATCTTGATCAATCCTGTGGTCTACCTGAAGCTTTGATTTTTGATAACTAACGATTCAGTCTTTAAACCAAGTTATCTTCAGAAGCGGTTCATCTTCAGAGACTAGCTCAACAATTTGCCACCAGTGAGTACAGACGTCATAGTATCAACTACGCTAATTGCCCCCCTCCTCAGCTTCTACCCTTTATTCACCTTATCAACAGCACCTTGAGTCTTAAGACTCAAGGTTGTGGAATAACTGAAGTAGCGGACCTTAGCGTTGTGATTCAAACCTAACATAGCATGGTATTTTTGAAAGTCTGGAAAACTTGCAATATTCATTAAAGTTTCTTACAAAGTTTCACGTTTGACAGTACTTGGTTTCAAACACAAATGTTACATATATACAAACAAATTGATGATTGCAATGGGATTCACAATCATGATGGTGCGTGATAGATTCCTTCAATCGGGTAACAACAATTTTCACATGGGATGATGCGCCAAGGGCCCCCAAGGTCGCCCCCTTGGCTCGCCCCCAAAGCCTTACATCGGAGTTAATCCCAACATTTGACGACATATCAATAACACAAGACACGTCTCACGCTGTCTTTCTAACTATAACAACCTAAGCCCACACACGGAGCACAGACGAAAGACAAGAGGCCAATCTGATGGGTACACTAAACATTATTTGCTCCGGATCATTGCCAGTTTTGTCCGCTTTGCTTTACTTCTTTTCCAAATCATCCCTTCTACTGTAAAAGGGCATCATGGAATGTTGATATAATGAAAGCTCATTGGTATAATAGAAAACTGAGGTTTCTAAACAGGGGACTTTGCAAGTATCATTGATCTGACCTGGCTATATCTTACATCTTTAACTAAAGTCATTCTATTTTGTGAGCAACTACTAATTAATTCCCTTCGTAACAAGCAGAGATGGGAATGAAAGAGAGATCTTCCTGCTTGCATACTTAACAGTCAACCATCCCATTTGGCTTGGCTGCTCAAGCATCAAGCATCAACATCCTCCAGAGTATCCCCACACAATAAAATGGTCAAAAAGCTTTGCAGAAAAGCCTGATATCTCTTCAAAAGCTTGAACAGATCCTCTTAGAGTGGCTTTAGTCAGGGATGCCAGTCAGTTTTACTCACCGGGCCTGAAAAGAAGCCAGAACACGTTAAAGCTCCATATGTGCTGTACAATATAAAGCTGAAAAAGCCTGAAATGGGAAATTGTTGGGGCCTGAAGACTGGCATCTCTTTTTAGTGCCTGTAGATGAGTCTCCACACCTTGCTTAACATCTTTCCTTGGCCTGCAACATGGCAAACCTGCGCACTGTTTCTCAACCTCTTTGACTCTATGAAGCTCTTCCAAAGTCAGCCGAAATGCCTTTAATTGGGCAATTGCTTCAAAATTAAGCAACATCCCTTGACCTTTGATGAATCTGCCTCAAAACCATTGCGAACTAAAATTTTGTAATCCTTAAAAGATCTTTATACAGTCAGCTAGAGTCTCCGATACTTTTCAATTAGGTAACTGTCTCTAAACGATGCAACATCTTCTCTTGATCTTCAATGTGGCTGACCTGAAAACCATTACAGACTACTATTCTAGATCCTCAAACATCTTTATACAGTCAGCTAGTCTTAGAAACTGTTACAAGGACAACTTTTCTTTCTGCCATAACACTCTCCAAATAGTCAGCCAGGGTGCCTTCAGTTGGGTAACTTCCTCCAACCTATACAACATTCTCTAGACCAGGACCTTCGACAAGTCACTAGACTTACCTGTAAATGGTTCCAGGACTACAATTCTTGGCTTTGTCCAGAACTTTGAGTTCGTAGCTGATGGCCGTAGGATCTATCCCGTGGTCTTCGTAGAGGTCTTCGTCACCTTGGCCCGAGTGGTAGGGTTCTGGTATTGACCACCTGACCGTTGCTGACCGGGCTGTGATCTGCTCCACCTCTGGCACCTGGATACTGGACAATAGATCCTTGAGTCTCTTGACTTGAGGGTTTTCTGTAACAGATCAAATCAAAATGACACAAAATTGATGAATAAAAACATTTTTTTGAATCTTTTTAGACTCATAAATAATATACATGAATATTATCTTCTGTCTCTGCCTTAGACTACAAACTGACTCTGATGGACAAAAATCAAAACGTCTTTTGGATGGTGAGGTTAAAAGTTTTAGTCCCAAGACATAATTAATCAAATCTGATTGATACACTTAAAAACGTTGGAAGGTATTGAAAGATGGAAATGAATAATGATGATAATATTTGACACTCATCAATTCTAGTGACTATCAAAACTAAATCTCTATATTTAATCCACCATTGCAGCTCTTTATTTCTTTACAATAAAGTTTTTAACACTTTTTTTAAACAAACGTTTCCAATGGCTACCAATTCTGGCATTCACAAAGTTATAACTTTGACATACAACATAAACATCACTTTTGTAATGAACATGAACTTCAATACATCAATACAACATGTATATTCATTTAAAAAGGAAGATGGAGTCGATAAAACACAAATCAATTCAGTCCTCTTATCAAAGAGGACATAACAATTGTGCATACTTAATAAAAAGGACCTTGTCTTAACCTTGCACTGGCACAACCCATGTAAACATTGTGTTGTTTAGTTTCCCAAAGTTAATCATACATGTACATCCATTTGCAGGTTCATAAATAGAGGGATAACCTCCAGCCAAATCATCAATTAGATAATTAGAGTCATATCATAGATACATCACGAAGTCCATGGATACACGTAGCTTCAGTAACCAAGGTAAAGAGACAACGACATAGATCCCGTTCACATTACGAAAGATAGCGCGATCCTGTGTGTGCTAGATCGTGCTATTCCCTGAGATTGGAACAGGGTAACACCACTTTGGTCCACCCAAGGGAGGACCAAAGTGATCCTAAACGGGAGAACTCTGGAGCACCTGCCAGGGGTGTTAAATGAGGGATAGCTTGAGCAAGGCATGCTAGATCAAGCTATCTCTTATAATGAGAATGATCAATTCGAACAAATTTTAGTAGTACCCCTGAGACAATTTCACCCTGGTTATTTTTCAAAGTAAAAAAATCAAGAAGGGGGCTTTGTAATACCACAAGGAAATGGTACTATGGTGTTTAGTTTGTCACGGCAACAAGAACTCTCAGAAGAGGTCCTCCTTTAGATCACCCCAAATGACTGCACATGTAAACGCATCGAGTGCCAGTGAAACTCCTTGGCTAACGACGGGTTCGTGCTACGATACCGCGACCCACGATCCACCCTTGCAATGAGAACGGGGTCCAAGTGTCAATGCAGTTAGGGGTTGCCATATTCATTCCATCTCATTTTGCTTTAGCACAACCCTTGTCATAATTACGTTAATGATGTGTTGTATCTTGTGGTAATCTTTTGACAGCCATGTGTGTGTTTAAGTACTTGAGATGGAAAAAACAGATTAGGGCTGGGAAAGCAAGCTTTTTTTCTATCCATGACAACTCTTATAGCCTGTTCAGATGAGAGGAAACTCATATGAAACTGGTATAAAGAAACATATAAAGAATCGTCATATGGCCTGTTCAGATGAGCGGAAACTCATATGAAACTGGTATAAAGAAACATATAAAGAATAGTCATATGGCCTGTTCAGATGAGAGGAAACTCATATGAAACTGGTATAAAGAAACATATAAAGAATAGTCATATGGCCTGTTCAAATGAGAGGAAACTCATATGAAACTGGTATAAAGAAACATATAAAGAATCGTCATATGGCCTGTTCAGATGAGAGGAAACTCATATGAAACTGGTATAAAGAATCGTCATATAACAAAGCGGGTTCACACACTAGATAACAACATCGCATACAGAAAGTAGTTTTTAAGAGATCAGTTGGCATGACAACTGGCCAAACATCAGTGCACGCTCCCAATCAGCATTGTCCAATTATACATATTTTGTGCGATAAGAAGTTCAGACTAGAACACGACCCTGATATTTTATCAAGTTTTCGTTCAAAATGATGCCCAAACATGCTTTTCGCTGTACAAAGTTTCATTATAACACGTTTCGTTGAATGATGTTTCTTTACAGAACATTAAGACTAGAACAACAGGTAATTTCTAATATCGTACAGCTATAATATTCTTGTATACAATGAATTATGATAGTCTGAATGGGGTAAAGGTGCTACTTCTGTCTTTAATTCTACTGAGAGGGAATCAGCTGTGGAGATGAATATCGGGGCACTGGTTATCATATTGTCATCAGGACTTCTGATAGGTGTTGTGGTTAGTGATAATATCATGTCGATTGATGTAAAGATACCATGTGGTTGAAATGGGTTTTTTTTTTTTCTTTGTCAACAGGAGAAGTTGCAGGTACATGACATGACATAAATATGTCAAAAATTTCATACAAATAGAACTGATTTTGAAAATTTGATTTCTTCAAGTTTTAATGTGTGATTACGATAAAAAATGTTCATTAAATAATCCTTAATATGATTTTAAAAGTTAACCTGTTACCTGTAACTGAAAATCATGAATAAATCTACGGTACTCGTAAAACAGACCTTAAAATTCTCTAATTTTAAAGTTAAACTTTTCATGAATCCATTACTAAAAAATTACACCTGACGTGCAAAGTTTGTAGAATTGTGAATATTTCTTTTCCTGCTCTTCTCCTGTTATTTTTAGGGGCATCCTCAAATTTCCTGCAATACAGTCCAGACAATTTCCTTGTTTTTCCCGGCTGGTAAAGTAATATCATTCAAATGAAGCTTTAAATGCGCACTTGTTTTTTTGGAAAAAATCATTTGACATACTGTAAACTACAGTTTACCTCATGGTGGTAGTCTGTGTTATTGACACTTTAAACCCCTTCCCAAGGGAAAGTCATACCTGCCGATCTTCTACAGCAAAAATTTGAGATCTCTGAAGATGAAAATGGGAATCCAGTGTATTTTATATGCTTCTACACAGAAGATACCAGATACAAAAGAGCAAATAGGGTTCATAACATTAGTTTGATGGCTAAAAAAATGGGAAACGTTCCTCCGAAATAAGAATGGTTGGCAGTTTTGGAGTTTGAACCCAGTAAATCTTAGGCCTACTTTCGCAATGTTTTTGTTATTTCGGCACTCAAGCAATATTATTATCATGTTTTTTCCTTTCTCTGTTCTTTTTTTAGAGCAGATTCAGAGACATAGAAAACTGAAGGGAAAACTAATTCCAAAGAATATGTGTAGGTATGCTGAAGGATGGGATTTATTCCTGTCTGTTGATGTACCATATCACTTACAAAAACATGCAAGAGATAATCATATAATTGAAGATATTTTGGCATGATGTAAATATGTTGGCATGACATGGGCGGAGCAATTTTCTTGATGTGACATTCGAGGAGGACTTGTACATGTATCATGCACCATCCTAGTTTGAAAAACTTTTGAATTCAATAATAAAACGTTTTCTTTTCAACAAGGGAAAATCATGGCTGAGATATAAAAACATCACGTCTGGCATTTGGTGAAAAACATACATGTAACAGGGGAATAATTGTGTTTCAAATCTCTCTTCTCTAGTGAATTTTCATTAAGGATATATCGTCCTTGTTTTCATGAAGTGACGGTAGTGAAGAAAATCGTAACGCAAAGTGAATGCAATTTTTTTTCACTACCGTCACTTCGTGAAAACAGCGACGATATGTATGTATCTTCATTAAGCTGATTCTTTAAAAACACATTTAATAGTTCATGCAACAATAAAAACATTTGTTTAAGTTTTTGTAACTTTTGTGCTTTCTAAATGGATAAAAAAAAAGACCATGTTACATTTACATACAAGTTTTGAGTGTGGAATATTTCACCGAAAGTTTGATTTTCTTTGTACCTTTAAACGAGATTAGATTAAAAAATGTTTGTTTTCAAAAATCAATGTATCAACTGTTTAAATCGTTTCGACAGTTCTTTGAAGACCATAATGCATCCAGTATCATAGAAATTAGCAAATTATGAATCCGTTACTGGAAGCATCTGGGGGACATTTCCTAACATCAAAAAACAAAATGATAGTATCATTGAATGTTTCACATTTTAATCATCATCAAATTACGAATGAGGAAGTTGGTAGGAAATTTGATATTTTCAAGTCTAATGTGTTTTTAATTGCTAATATCCTTGTACAGTTCCTGTGGGGAATTCCATACAAAACTTCTAGAATTTGCTTCTTTTGCTTATTTTATATTTTTTTAAATAAAATGATGTCATATTCAACTTTGAGCCCATCTCGTTCATATTGACGTTCTGTTTAATATCTAAATTTGTCTAATTTCATGTATTGTGTTACTCATGATTTGTAATGACTCTCCAATTATTTGTAAATATTGTGACTCTGTTTTGATATTTCTAAGAAATCATACAACAACCAAAAGGTCTTGGTAAACCCCTGAAATCAATTGTTTATTTTCGTTGTTTGTTGAACAGGGAGACACCTAAAATTCATCAAAGTACTGCCAACAAAAATAGAAAAGTTGTTGAAGCAAATGGTGACTAGAAGTGCAATCATATTTGTAGCATCTAGAATAGTAGAGATAGGTAGGCCAAAAGAGAGGCCTGAAAACTAACCCAAAATGGAACCTGAATGGACATACAGTGTACACTAGTGATTTCGAAAAAGACGAGAAATATAATTTTCAAGGGAACCAACAAAATTATTTATAGACAGTTGGTCGCTACAACAGGTGTATCGTACTTGTGTAGACAGAATCACCTTTGCACTATTAAAGGTAATACAAAGTTTTGGGAAATTTTGAAAATTGGGTGGATAGTGAATCTTTACAATTTTGATATATTTGGATGCCCATGTGGATGTATTATACATGTAATCACTGAAAAAATTAACCCCTAAAACACTTCTGTTTTCGAGAAAAATTGAATACCGGTGCTCCCGGTAAATTTTGATAAATTTCAAATAGCGCCTACGGCCGTACGATGGTAGCTGCGAC